AGCTAGAAGAAGGGTAATCAGAACAGGAGTCGGTCAAAGTCAACCAAGAAGAGGTCGAACTCAAAAGTTAGGCCTATCAAAAGAATGTTGAAGCTGAGTGAGGTTGTTACCATGATTCTATACTAGGAGGTTAGAAGGAAATCATCTGAATCAGAAGGTTCAGGTTCAGCCCTAAATCTCGAGCAGAGAGGTAGAAGCTAGAAGAAGGGTAATCAGAACAGGAGTCCGTCGAAGTCAACCAAGAAGAGGTCGAACTTAAAAGTTAGGCCTATCAAAAGAAAGTGTTAGAAATGCGGTCAGGAGGGCCATATGTCTTCAGCGTGTAAAACACAAAAGAAGGACGCGAACGAACAGGAGGCTCATCTTGTGCAGGATGCATTGATCCTCGCTATGGATAGCGATTCTGATTTTTGGGTCATCGACTCAGGAGCACTAATCCATACCACTTCTAATAGGAAGCTCCTTCATAACTATGTAGCAGGGGACTTTGGGAAAGTATAATTGGGAGATAATAAACCCTGTTGTGTTGTTATAAGAGGAGATGTGCAACTACATTTGAAGGGCTCTAAGTAGAATCTGAAGAACGTGAGGCACGTACCGAAGTTAAAGATGAATCTTATTTCGATTGGCCAGCTTAGAGTAGAAGGCTATGTTTCGACATTCATCAGAGATTCGTGAAGGATTTCAAATGGTGCTATGATTGTTGCCCGAGGCAACAAAACAAGAACTCTCTATCTCACCTCACATGCAAGTGACACCCTCGCAATTGAAGCTAGCAAAAAGAGTACGGATCTATAGCACAATAGATTGGGATACATGAACAAGAAGGGGATGAAGATTCTATATTCATAGGGGAAGCTAACCGACATCGATTCCGTAGAAGTCGGTGTTAGTGAGGACTGCATTTTTGGGAAGCAGAAGAGAGTTAGTTTCCAAAAGGGTGGAAGGCCACCTAAAGCTCAGAAGCTAGAGTTAGTTCATTATTACGTATAGGGTCCAGCTAGCATATCTTCTCTTGGCAGTTCGACATACTATATCACCTTCGTCGACGATCACTCGAGGAAGGTGTGGGTATACTTCATGAAGCACAAGTCAAAGGTGTTCCAAATCTTCAAGAAGTGGAAGCCATGGTGGAGAATGAGACAGATCTAAAGGCGAAGTGTCTGAGATCAGACAACGTGAAGAATACGAGCTGGAGGAGTTCAAAAGGTTTTGTGCTCTAAATGAGATTCGTTTGGAGAGAACTACTCCAGGAAAGCAAAATGACGTTACAGAGAGGATGAACATGACATTGACAGAACGTACCAAGAGCATGCAATTACATGCAGGTCTATCTAAGATATTTTGGGTGGATACGGTGCATATGACAGCTTACTAGATTAATCATATGCCATCAAATCCATTGGATTACAGAATTCTAGAGGAGGTTTGGAGTGGCAAGAAGATCAATCTCTCACATTTATGAGTATTTGGTTTTGTGGCATATGTTATATCAATGACAATGTTAGGGATAAACTAGAGGCTAAGTAACAGAAGTGCACATTCATTGAATACGGCATTGATGAATTCGAGTATCGTCTTTAGGATGAGAAGAATAGGAAGATCATCAGAAGCAGGGATGTAATATTCAATGAGCATGTGATGTACAAGAACAGGGATAGTGCTAATGATAGCCAAAAAACTGGGAGCAGTACTACGGATACAGGTGGATCCGAGTACATGGATTTGGATGAACCTCCAGATGTGGGCGACAAAGTCCATTCTGACCGAAGAACGGAGGAGGATCAAGGTGCAGAGATGACTACCCAGGGCGTAGAGCTTAGGAGGTCATCCAGGGTACCCAAACCGAATCTCAGATATCTCTCATCACTTGATTATTTTCTTTTGACAAACAGTGGAGAATTGGAGTGCTATGAGGAGGCTATGAAAGTGAGTGAATCTTAGCAGTGGGAGCATGCGATGTAAGAGGAGATGGATTCTCTACATACTAATAAGATATGGGAGTTAGTCCAGCTACCTTCATAGAAGAAAGTTTTGCATAACAAATGGGTCTATCGGGTCAAGTAGGAGAGTGATGGAAGCAAGAGATACAATGCCAGATTAGTCGTGAAGGAGTTCCAACAGCGGAAAGGAGTAGACTATACAGAGATATTTCCCCCCGTTGTGAAGCTCACAACCATCAGAGTGGTGTTGAGACTTGTAGCTGTAGAAGATCTCTATCTTGACCAGTTATATGTGAAGACTGTCTTTCTTCATGGTGATTTGGATGAAGAAATCTACATGAAGCGACATGTTAGCTTCATTGAAGAGGGAAATGAAGAGATTGTGTGTAAGCTCAAGAAAAGCTTGTACGGATTGAAACAGGCCTAGAGATAATGCTACAAGAAGTTCGACAACTTCATGCAGAACAATGACTACAGAAGATACAATTCAGATTATTGTTGCTACTTTAAGAGGTTTAAGTCTAGTTTTATCATATTGTTATTGTATGTTGATGATATGTTAGTTACAGGACCGAGTTTAGAGGAGATAAACAACTTAAAGAATCAGTTGACAAAGGAGTTTTCTATGAAGGATCTGGGTACAACAAAGTAGATTCTAGGGAAGTGAATCAGTTGAGATAAAACTGAAGGGACTTTGAGGTTGAGTCAAGCTGAATACATCGAGATGGTACTTCAAAGGTTTAACATGCAAAATACTAAAGTTGTTAGCACGCCCCTTGGAAGTTAATTCAAGCTATCTGAAGAGCAATCACCTAAGACAAACGCAGATAGAGAGCATATGAGCAGGGTGTCATATTATTTGGCCATTGGGAGTCTCATGTACGCGATGGTTTGCACAAGGCCTAACATTACTCATGTAGTGGGAGTTGTGAATAGGTTTACAAGCAATGCAGTGAAGCAGCAATTAGGAGGCCGTAAAGTGGATATTGTGCTACTTGAGAGGGACTACGGACAAGCCACTATATTTCTGAAGGAAGGAGTTGGTACTGTAGGGATACGTGGATGCGGACTTCGCCGGTAATCATGATATGAGACGGAACACCACGGGGTATGTTTATACCTTAACGTCGACAGCAGTGAGTTAGATTTCACGTCTGTAGAAGATTGCAACTTTGTCTACAACTGAAGTTGAGTATGTCACGGTGACTGAAGTAAGCAGGGAGATGATTTGGTTGAATGGGTGCCTGAAAGAGTTGGATCTGAAGCAAGGGAGAGGAGTTCTTTATTATGACAGCCAGAGCGCTATACATCTTTCAAAGAATCCAGTACATCATGCCAGAATGAAGAACATCGATGTACGATACTATTTTATACGCTCGCTGATTAAGGACGAGAAGTTACATCTAGAGAAGATTTTAGGGAGTCAAAATCCTACGGATATGTTGACGAAAACAGTGACCATTGATAAACTAGAGTTGTGTGCAACTTTAGTTAGCCTTCACGTATAGGAGATGAAGGCGGAGTCACACCAGGAGGATCGGCGGGATCGTCGGGTTGATGATGAATGACGAAAGGATTTTTTTCGCGTAGTAGTATGCTTGCGAAGAAGGGAGAGTTCGGGTGAGCTCGTTGATTGTGCTTTGGTCTCCAAGTGGGAGATTGTTAGTCTAAGGGATGTAGACTCAAAGCTGGAATCAAACAAATTGTTGGATAGCAGGTTTCCTAATCTGTTTTGGTAACATGATTCTTAATCTTTTTTGGTAACAGGTTATTAGGATTCCTAATCTATTTTATTTTTTGGTTTTAGAATTTCTAGTCTGTTTTAGTTTTAGGTTTCTATATATATGGAACGCCTTAGAATAGATTAGACATCAGAAAAAAAAGGTTTTGAGAGAATTCTTTAGAGAGATCTCAGAGAGATTAGATCCTATTTGTGGGCATCGTAATCTTCTTGAATATTAATCAAAGAATTGTGTGGTGTGGCTCCCGAGAACGTAGGCACGATTGCCAACCTCGTTAAATCTGGTGTGTTCTTTCTTGTTTACTTTCCTGTAAGTTTTTTATCTTTTATTTGTGTGATTTTTCCTACTTTCCTACTCTCAAACACAAGGTCCGTAAGGGCAAGGGTTCGATTTGATTGTTTCGAATCCCCAACAGATGGAAATGTAGCTTCCTTAGGAGTTATTGTTTTCTTTGCTTCATTGCAATAATTATAACTATAGTTGCATAAAACATGACTAGTTTGGATTGGTTTTTAGTTGGACCAGCTGCAATGTTTCTTTAAGTATGACTAATAAATGTACTTACAGTTGTAGTTACCAAAAATTTCTAGTTATAACCAACTGGCTTGCATATATTTGAAAGAAAGTTATAGTAGCAATCTTCTAAGCAGCAAAACATTTTTAAAATCAAAATGTACCAACGCAAAAAATACTCAACAAATGTTAGTCACAAGCACTGGAAAATATATCTACGGTTGTAAATTGTAAAACTGAATGTGCAAAATAACGGTTGCATTGTAACCAAACAACCCCTTAATATATCATTATGTTTTGCAATATTCGACTAACTTATATGTAGTTTTTTGATAGCCAATTTATTGTTGAAACGTGTATATATACCTAATCCATTGGACTTTTGAAGAAAATCAAGATCTACAAATCAAATCTTATTTCAAATTAAGACTTTTATGGCTTCCCAAAATACATATATGTACTAAAAATTTTCCCAAAATTTCCCACTATAACCCGCTGACACCTCTATTACATTATAAGATAGGGAATATAAAAGGCTACAAATAACTAAACCCTAGTCATAATAATATCTTCCAAGGTCAGAGAATCTTCATAAACACATTCATCATTAAAAGAAAGTCTCCTCTTAGAATAATAATTAACTTATTCTGCCAATCAATAATAGAAATTAGAAAAAGCTTTGTTAGTGATTTGAAAAGTTCGATACCAACAAGCATAGCCCGTGTTGCATGCAACGAGCAACACTATATAAACCAACACCAAGATCAAACCCTTTCTCATCAAGCAACTTAATTAATTAACCAGTTAACTCTGCTTTCAATTTCCATAACAATGGCTTTCTCCTCTACCTTCTTTGTGTTTTCTCTCTTTTCCGTTCTTGCTTTGATTAATGCAAACGGACAGCTTTTGGACGACAAGTTCTATAAACGAACTTGTCCGAGTTTACGTGGAATGGTTAGATCGACAATGGCACGAGCTGTGAAAGATGAGAAGAGGATGGGAGCATCCATTCTTCGGCTCTTCTTCCATGATTGCTTTGTTAACGTAAGATATATATGTATAATATTAATTTATTTCTCTTCTGTAATTCAATTTTTCACTTAAATCGAACAAATGTGGGATTATACAAAAACCAAAAGTTTCTCGTATGAAAAGTAGTTGAAGAAACTTGTCTTAAATCTATCTTCTAATCACATGTTTAGTGTCATATTAACATTTGCAAATTCCTAAGATAAGTATAAATTTTTATCTTACGCATACGAATCAAATAAAAAGTTACATTATTAACTCTTTAAGACCGGCCCCTTTAACTACTCTTTGATTTACTCGTCATGTCATAACATACGCCTTAATTATGTGCATTTCAATGGAATATTAATTAATAATTCGGCATATCATGTTTGCAAAACTAAAACGACTGCGTCATGTAGTGGACCTAACATGATGATGATTGTCGGCATTATTTTTTGTAAGTGTGCCATTGTGGTTTCCACGAGCCCAACATCAAAATATTCCCATCTATTATTTTGGAATTTATAGCCAATTGAGAAATTATTAGATATTAGATATTATTATTATTATTATTATTATTATTATTATTTTGTTTCGAAGTAAATAAATCGGTGTTTATATATAATTATGAATCAGGGTTGTGATGCATCGATACTTCTTGATGACACTCCGACGTTCACGGGAGAAAAGAACGCGTTCCCTAATCGTAACTCCGTACGTGGCTTCGAAGTGATCGACACCATAAAGTCAAAAGTTGAGGCCAAATGCAAGGGCACCGTTTCTTGTGCGGATATTCTTGCTCTCGCTGCGCGTGATGCTGTCGTCTTGGTACGTAATATTATTCATAGTTAAACCCTCTTTCACGTGTCAAACATATTAATTCTACACGTGAAATGAAATTACTCCAGTGAGAGTGGAGAGTTTACTAATCCATCCGTTTAGATTGGTTAGCTAATAAAGTAGATTTCTCTCTTGATTTAATTTTGATTTGGTTTAGAAGAAAACTGGGGTCAGCCTTAAACCTGGACCAATTTTACTAAACGGAGCCTAAACATGTATTTACTTTGTTAGATAATTAAAAGGGCCGTGTAAAAATTTATTGACAGCAGAGAATAATTTAGTTGCAAGCTGAGACTACGAAAGGACTAAATGAAAATGTGAGAATAAACCAAAAATTTATACTAAATCGATACCTATGAACAGCTAGGCGGACCTTCGTGGAAAGTGGAATTAGGTCGACGGGATTCAAGGACAGCAAGTCAGAGCGCCGCCAACTCCCAACTCCCGCCCTTCTTCGTTGACCTCCCAGTCCTCATCTCTATGTTCGCCGCCAAAGGCCTCGACGCACGTGACATGACTGCCCTCTCCGGGGCCCACACAATCGGCCTAGCTGGTTGTGGCACCTTCCAACGCCGCGTCACCAATGAGTCCAACATCGATCCTCAATTTGCTTCGCTACGTCAAAGCACGTGCAGAATTAGCAACAGTCGAGCTCCCCTCGACGACGGGAGCGAGGAGAGTTTTGATAACGGATTTTACAGGAACCTCGTGGCTCGCCGAGGGCTACTTCATTCGGACCAGGAGTTGTTTAACGGCGGGTCTCAGGATTCATTGGTGAAGAAGTACAGCGAGAATCAAAAAGAGTTTGAAAATGACTTTGTCGCCGCGATGATTAAGATGGGGAGGATTGATCCCTTGACGGGAAATGAAGGAGAGATTAGATTGAATTGCGGGGTGGTGAACTAGTAAGCGTTGGCATCATCTTAATTAAAGACAGTCACTGCTGCAATTACAACAACAACTTTTAACGGCGATGTGGAGAGTTTGAAGTCACTGAAGGTTGAAATTGTTTTATTTCCTTCCATTTGTTTTGCTTTGCTAATTAAGAATTTGTTTGTTGTTCCATCGTGCAACTTTTTAAGGTTGCAAGGGACTACAAGGGTGGTCGTGTATGTACTATTGCCTTCCTCAGATGAAGAGAGATCTTAGTGATCTCTTACCTTGTATCGTTGTATTGATCTTTCACAACTTATTGATGTTTTTTTTTCGAGAAAAAAAATGGAATACCACAAAGGTATTGCAGCCAGCTAATTTAACAAACGAGGTTGTTACATGAAAAGAACATATCTTCAACCAAGAGTATGGCCTATTAGATCAACAAAAAACAACATGTCAGGAAATAAAAGAACACTCCTGTACACAAAGGAGTCCACATAATAGAAGAAAATCTTATAACAAAAAGCTAATCTTAAACCAAAAAGAAAAATAGAAGGTAGTTCTCTGAGATTAATCTTCATTCTAGTAGTATCACACTCCCCGCAAGACTCCTTCCAGTTTCCTCAGCAGCTCCAACATTTTGAACATTTCTCCTCCTAGCATCTCTTTTCTTTCTTCTTTCCTACAGTCTAGAAGCTCGAGCATGCAAGCCATTAAAACCTAGCCAAAAGGTTGAGTAAGTCACTATTTTGTTCAAAAGATCAATAGATATCGTCTACTTGTTAGCAAAAAGTGTAGGATCTGAAATAGATACAATAGAACACTAGAGGGGGGTGAATAGTGTTCTTTAAAAAATTATGTAAAGTATATTATAAATTGCAAAGAAAAATGACAATCTCAGAAATTCACAATCACAAACACAAAGTTTTATACTGGTTCCACCAATCCGGTGTACATCCAGTCCTCAAGCAAATCCCGCTTGAGAGTTTCCACTATGATTTTGAGTAAACTTACAAAATCAAAAGCAAACCTGACCAATTTGCAAGCCCCTGCAAATTACAACACCAATTGACAAACACCTTGTCAATTTGCACACCAATCTCTAAACCAAGAGTTTAACACCTCTCACAACTCGAGAGAACTTTTGAAGCAACAATTTCAATTCCTATAAGCCTTGATTTGTAGTGTAGTGTAGTAGTGGCTTAGGAATGATTCTAACTTCTGTAAATTGCCTAAGCAATAAGTATTTGAATGATGTTCAAAGGGTATTTCTGAAACTTTTCTTTTTCTCAAAATCTGAATATTTTTTACTTGAAAAATGCACAAAGATCAAAGCTTATGGGTATGTAAGTCTCTGCATTTTTTCTGAACAAATAACCTATTTAAAGCTCTTGAAAAGACAAGTTTTTGAACTTTAAAAACGTTTAAAAATGGCTATAAATAGTCATATATTCAAACTTTAAATTCTGGAAAAACTGTATCTGTAGTCGACTACAAGACTGATTAGTCGACTACACTGAGTTTAAACAGACTCTGTGTATTCAAAAAATTTCTCAGTAGTCGACTATAAAGTTCAGTAGTCGACTATACTGTAATTTGACAGAAACTTAGAAAATAAATTTTGTCTTCAGTAGTCGACTATAATGTCAATTAGTCGACTATACTATAAAATAACAGAAACTTATGTTTCTATCATAAACTTGAGTAGTCGACTATTATCCATATTAGTCGACTATACTGTAAATTGACAGAACCATATATTAAAGACATATATATGAGTAGTCGACTATTATTCTAATTAGTCGACTACTAAGAGTTAGAAAATGATATGAAATAAATGTTTTGATACTCCATTATTAACTACAACTCTAATGGTTAACATATGGGATTTCTATAGTTAACCAACACACTAAGCCTGTGTTAGTGTGTTCTAATATTTATGTGTGTGTGTGTGTGTGAGTGATCAAGGCTTGCACAATAATTCTAAGTAAAAAAATGTAAAATACATTATCTCATATGTTCTTCATCTTCTTCACTTCATAATGCCTTGAATCTCAACTTGCACTTGTTCATATTTTGATATTGAAAGCTGCATATAAGAGTTAGTGCATTTGTATAACACACATTGTATAATTTGTTATCATCAAAATAATATCATGGAGATATAATAATCAACATTCTCCCCATTTTTAATGATAACAAATAATTTATGCATAAGTATGTATTTTATAACAAGGTTTAAACATTATAAAATAACCATACTTACGCCCTCTGCATATATGCAAATTAGAGTCTATAACAATAATATAGATAACCATACATAATTCTAATAGAGATAACCATTTCTCCCCCTTTGTTATCATTAAAAAGAAATAAATATTTATGCTAAACATGACATTATTTCTTCAACATGAGCTAAAACTTTAAACAAATCATCCAGATTATGAACATAATCCATAACTTCACCCATCCAAATAGGTAGGCAAAGACTTGCCATAAAGACCAAAAGATCCATAATGTTCATCACCATGATCTGTTTAAAATATATAGCACATATATCAACTATCATAGATCATATTAATGTAAACACACAATCAACATACTAGACATTGTAGCAACATAACATATTACATATGTCTTAATAACAACCCACAACTACATAGTTTTTGATACTTAACCATAGATAATCAAAATAACATAACTGTTTTGAAACTAAAACATCCAAATATAATATGATGCATGCATAAACTTCTAAGGTGCTGGAGGAGGTTGTTGTCCTTGAAAGTATGCATTAAGCTTTGTGTCCAAGTCTTCAAACTTCTTGATTAGCTTAATGATATAGGAATTCTCAAAATATAGAGCTCTCTGACCAGTTTCAAGTTTAAGAATACGTGCACTTAGAGTGTTGTATTGCACGTTTGAAAAACATGAAGGTTCTGTTGTTCGCGGGGAAAACTGTTGCTTTCTTCATTAATGAGATAATTGTCATCTTGGATTACAAAGATCCGAAGATCTGATATCGGAAATCCTCGGCCCTCCCCCACTCACCATTCTCCAAGCAGCTGTTAAAGAAAGGGGACAGACTGGTCCTAATGGTATTCGGTACCGAGCACCATCACAGTCGGAACGGATGGAAGGACGAACCAAGCCATCAAATAGTATACGGAAGTCCACCTTAAGTGGTAGGATCGAGTCGGTTATCATCATCTCCTCCGTGTAAAAGCACCAGAAATCTGCCGAAGCCTCGATGAATGTAGCAACCCATCACCGGAAAGAAGCGAAAGTTCCTTCCTTGTAGCCAAGCTGAAACTGCAGGTATAGAGCACTTCCCAGTGGCAGATGCGTCACCAGACTGATACAGGACCACCACCATTTCTTCATCCAGATGTGAGATAACCGGCAAGGGAAGTCATCGGACAAATCGGTGCGGTCTAGCATGATATTATACGAAAACGCATCTGAATTTAGTCCCCTGTAGAAAGCAGCTCTCAGGAACTGCTAATGGATAGGATTGGCGTTAGTCTTATTCCAGCAGCTCCATTAACCTCTGAAGGAGTCAGCGGTGCCAGTTCACAAAAGATTGCCCAAGAAAATGGCTCTCCAGATTCCTGGAAAAATATACGATGCGAACCTGCTTCAGGCCTCACATTTGCTTTGGTCCTCTTCGCTAGGGGCCCTTAGACTGCGCCAAAAGCAAATGTGGTAATGACAATGTGAGATCCCATAAGGTCTCGTAGCGGTCGGGCCCATGCTGATCCCTTCAGCTGACTCTAACTCATGGTTGGTAGGGAAAGTACTCCTGGTATAACATCTGTCCCATGGGCAAACCAGAAATTCTTTGTGCATCCTCATGTAGACCAAGCCCCAACTCTCCGTGCCTTGTGTTTCAGAAAAAAGTGTTGGAATCTGGATTAAAAGCTCGCATAGGGGAAAGAAATGCCTTCCGCGCTTGTAAGGCAAGCCATGCATGGTGGCCCCGAATGGCTGCAATAAAGGCCGCAAGCATGTAACTCTCCGTCTCCATCGGCCTCAAGACATACTTTCGTCATAGCGAGCCCCACCCCAAAACCGGTCCAAAAGAATGGACCAACCATAGAATCTGTGGCCGGTGCAGGCAATCTCCCGTCCTAGAATAGCGAGGCGATTCCTCCAAAGTAGAATGAGCAGTGGGTGAGGACCTCGTTTGCGAGGCGGAGTATCTAGGGCCCCCAGTACTCGTCAGGATTGTATCCAACAATGTGATCCGGCTCGAACCAAGGAACTGCCTGAATGAGTATATAGCCACAGTGAACTTCTCATGCATCCCTTTCAAAAACGCCACGACATCTTCCCCGTTTCACAAGCCTGGTGCCTGACGCTCCAGTCCAAAGAACGGTGCCCGAGAATTCGGTAAATACATAAAACGACTTGCCGTCTGGTAAAAGCCACTTGCTCAAGCATTCAATAAATGCCGCATCGGATCCCTGGTAGAGTCGAACCAAGAAGTCAGTCTTCTAAGAGACTGAAACGGAACGGCCATCCTGCACGAGCAGGCGCAATCCTGTGATCAGCTGGCGAAGGGCCTTGAAGTCCACCTTCCTTCACCACTTGGACAACTTCCAGCGATGTGCCCGAGCAAACTGGGAGGTGAGCGGAATGGCCGAAAAGTCATCAGATGTTGAATAAATACCTCATGCACGACGTCCATTCAACCGCATGTGATGAAAAAAAGCTCCGGAAGGAATATCCACTGAAAAACAACAGTTTAAGTGTTGTTTAATTTCAGAATATATAAAGGAAATGAATTCATCCTTACAAATTGGTAAGATAGAGTCATTGCCTTTATAAAGGGCGAGACGTATTTGGCCACATTGCGCCATTTATAAGATAGTGGAATATGCGGAGCAATATATCCCTGCTGCCTTATAAAGCAACAATGCAGCGGTCAAAACGCCCCCTTTATTATGAGATGTGGTTTCGACCAAGCAAAAACCATCTTTAAACGTCGATCCTCACCAAGGTAGGAATCAAGGCTTTTCCCCGATCGCCTCACCAAGAGAGCCAAAATAGGGTAAAAGGACTAATTTGCAAATTACTCAGAAGAAGAGGGTTAATTTGCAAAATTTCCACCATAAACGTCGATCCTCACCAAGATGAACCAAAGCCTTTCCCGGTTGTCTCACAAGGAGAACAACGGGGGTAAAATGGACAATTTCAAATTATCCAAAAAAAAGAGGCTAATTTGTAAATTTTCGAAAAGGTCAAAAAAAATTGCCTCACCAGCCATATGAGGAAGCACCCATCAACCGATGCAGCAGGAAAAACGACCTCCTCCGATACTCCGCGACATAATGCCCTACAAAA